ATTCTTGCGTGATTCGGTATGGCATCGGGTCACAGTGGGCATTTAGGCGGCATTTTGGTGAAAAATCGCAGGTTCAAATTTTTATATTTTGAATGATGACATATATACTATAAATAATGCCCTATTTAACGGTGAAAAGTTTTTGGCTCTAGCCTCTTCCCAAGTTGAGAAAATTAAATCACAAAATTATCAGTAGAATTAGTATGCTGGCGCGTAAAATTACATTTTCTCCGTCGAATTATAAATTTTTTTCAAAAACAATGACATATATAGAATGTTAGACTACCTCGCCGTAAGAAAATTTTCGTCGGACAAAGTTAAATTTCAGGGAACGCGCGAAGATCTTTCCATGGAACTCATCTAAAAAAAAGACGTCCTCATAAAAATGCAATCGCTAAACTCCGCTGAGCAGCTATTGATATGAAAAATAGCTCAAAATGTTCGTCTCAACCTCCTCTACATATACGGATCTCACAAAGTCTCCCAACTCTAGGGGTGCTGAGTTACAGGCTTTCCAAAAACCCTGGGGATTTTCGAGTATTTCGCAGTTTGCTCCCTCAAAAAAGCACTTTTTCTTGAAGTAAGGTCATATTCGGAATCAGCGCGAAAAAGTGCATCGAATGGTGTATAACTCATCTAGTTTCGGCCGCTCGATTTTGAACTTTCTTAGTTTTTGAGATTCACACAAACAATTTCGTGCTGAAATTCTGAATTTCAAGATAAAGTAACCTGAAGGACTCGAAACATGTTTCTTATAGGTTTTTGGCGATGCGCTTTCCAGTGGTATCGTTTTTAAATATTGAGAAAGTTTTTTGAATGGTTTTCCAGAGATCCGATCTCTGGAAAAACTCCTTAGAAAACTTTTTCAAAACCCAGCTCTCATGCCATTAGAAAGAGGATCATGGAAAACCTATAAAAAAATGGTTCATGAAATTTTAGTTCACTCGTAAAGCTAAAGTCCGCCTGTTCTAGCAAAAAATGCCCACTGTGCGGGTGGGGGTAAAAAGCCTAGGAGGGTTCGGGCGGAGACTTTTCCGCTGGGGAGTAAATATAAATATATTAAATTAATTAATAAATGTATTAAGTATAGACAAATTGGGTTTGTCCTATATAACATTACTAGATCTATAATTTCCTTTATTTTGATAAGAAACTTTCGTAATTCCGTCTGAAAAATGACCACCTAGGACGAAGAAAGCGGCGTATTAATGGCTTTTGCGAGCGAGTTAAGTAGTGGTTAATGACTATTTTTTGTCCATTGAGGCTGTTTTTGGGCTATATTTAGATCATCTGAACGGCCTGTATAAGACGTAGATATTTCTTCAAGGTGTAAACATGGTCGGCTAACGTTGATCATTTTAAGACCATTTTTTTGAGTACTGGTTGGTCTTTCTAAGGTCATTTTTCTCTTTTTACAGTTATAATTCGACTGCATTTATTATTACTACAGAAATGTCTTAACAGCTAGAATTACAGTCCAGTAATGAGTCTGATAAGCCCCGAGTCTCTCTGATAATGGAAGAAAATTTTGTTTATCTTAACATTTGCTCGGTTCTTGATACTGTCGATCTAATATACAATATAACGGTGATAAAGAAGCAACACCATTAACGAGCCGTCTTTTTACTACTTTTAAAATACGTTCGCTTCACACCGTGAATTAGCAATGTACGGTCAAATTGAAAAAGGGGCAGCTAGTTATAGCATTCTCAATTTGACCGTAGACTGCACATTTGCAGACCATTAAATTAATGCTCCAAAAACAAAGCAGGGAATGAAAACATTATTTGTCCATTTTTATGCTGTTTCAAGCCATTTCAATGCTCATCCTAAGAGCGTTCATTAAATATAAGCAAACTGGCTATTTAGTGCCAGTTTTTCTGGATCTGGGCACCTTCGATAAACGTTTTTGGCTCATAAAACTTGATTTTTCGATGTTTTCCTGTCTCATCAGCTTGGATTCCTAAAAGAGATAATAGAACGAACATATGAAATTTTTGTAATGCCAAAAGAGTTAATAGATTCAATTAGTAATCAAGAACGAAAAAAAGTTAAATTATTGTGTTTTCGAAAGAGATAATATAGAAAATCATGAAATCAATATAGAATCATTCATGATTCATGAATGAACGTTCAGTCACTAATATACAAAAATCATGAAATCAGGCAGCATCATTAAGTACAGTGTACAAAATCAGGGTAAACAGTGTGCAAACGCGAATTATATAAATATGGAATCAGTAAATAGCAAAGCATGTCATTTTCTACTGACAAACAAAAATGGATTTGAGAAAAGTTATAATGTTTAGTAGTACACAGCAAGGAAAATCTTGCGCTGTATTTCAAGAGTTTCGTTTTCTTGAAGTTCATGAAAATAAAATATTCAGCTGTTTTATTTAAGTATACAATAAACAAATGTTCAGCATACATAACAGCTGATGGCAATAACAACGTTATTCGTACAAGTGGTGTTCATAGTGATTTGGTTAAGATTGATGAAGAAACTAAAGGTGTTATCCGTGGCATGAAACATAAAACTGAAGAAGATTCTTAGAATTAGAATTGTTTTTGCATTCAATATAATACCAACATTACTTGCAAATATATGGAAGTGGGTGAAAAATATACAAAAAGAAGAGAAAAATGCACTTTAGAATCGTGAACATAGTAATCTTTTGAAAACACAATAATTTAACTTTTTTTTCGTTCTTGATTACTAATTAAATTTATTATCTCTTTTGGCAATACAAAAGTTTCACATTTCCGTTCTGTTATCTCTTTTGGGAATACAACTTATTATCTCTTTTGGGTTTACTCAGTTTATTATATCTTTTGGCCCCTACCCGTCTCATCACCATTTGAGATCTCCCATTTCTCATATTTCGAAATTAGAACCTTTTGTTAGTTTAATTTTTAGATACATTCATGTCTGATTGGATTAAAAAATTGTTAATTTTTTCATAATTATTAGTATTTTTGTTTTTCAGTTATGTTAATTCTACTGTTACCTTCCCAGAAGTAACACCCGTAACGGATTTACGAGGTCTTCGAAAAATTGCTGATTATTGCCGATTATTATTGCTGACCTGTTTGATAGTGTTACAGAATGTCGGCAGTTCATTGAACAGACCAAAGAAACAAGATCATTTTTACTTTGCTCTGGTCAACTTGCACAGATTTTCGTTCCACAAATTCATGATGTCAAAAATATTTGATCAGTCTGCACCTACTGTCATAATAAAGTATATCACTAACAACGTGCTTCAAATTATTCAAAAATATTCAAGATTTTTTTCTTCTTTGCTTAACTAACGTTAAGAACCTTAAGTTTAGATAAAACCAGATCATACATCGCTTGATCATTTGCTAAAATGATTTGACACAAAGCGTCGAAGAATATTAAAAACATAAAAATACAGCTTTCTTCGCTTCAATCGGAGAAGAAGTTAGAATAGCAGACAGTTCGTTGTTGTCTTGGTGGATGAAATTAATGGCTATGTTTGTAGAATTACCTTAGAGACCACCTATAATGCTTGTGTAGATGAAGGTGCTTTAACTTTTCCCACCACCCCCGAACTCATTGGGTCATTGGCGCCACGTAGTCCCGAACGTCGAATATGATAATTTCAACAATAATCTAACTGAAATATTCTTACGTATGGGTCTCGATTGGTTATAACACTTAGTAAGTCTTGAACATTAACAGCTATCCGTCGAATATTTTTTTGGGTCTTTAAATTCAGATTATCTCTTTCGAAAGAATTTTTTCTTATCTGCTTACACCGCCGATATAACTTTACTTCTTATCTTTTTATATGACAACGATGAAGTCGAAGTTGTTCTTTTACGTTTAATTTGTTAAAATTGTTTATTTCATAGTCCCACCAGTCTAGAGTCTTTCTCGATAAAGGTAGAAACGCGTTGTTCAGTCACTTTATTTAACTTAATGATAATTTTTTAAAATATGTCAAAAACAAGATTTACATGCATTTTTGTAACCGCTGTAAATAGCCAAAAAACAAATAAATATCAACTTATTAATACTCAACGATTCGCTTAAACACGCCAGTTTTTAATACTTATCATAGCGAAACAATGAGTTCGAGAGCTATTTTCGTTTTTAACTTGTTTGACTGTGACGAGGAAAGAACGGTCTTCAAGTGACCCCTCACTTTTTCCGTGAAAGTCTATAAGAATTTTTATACGAACTTTTGTTCCACTAAAACGTTAATTGTTAATCTGAAGCTCTAGAAAAATTGTACTAAACCCCCCGTCACATTAGAAGCCCAGTCTGGCATGAAACTTTTTGAAAATTGCCCCTGCTACTTACTTATAGGGTACTTTTTGAGAAAATTTTGCCTTTCTTGCAGGACATAATAGAAGCCCACTGGGCTTCTAATGTGGACAGGGGTATAGATAGAAAAAATTGATAAATGCGCACTCCTAACCTACCAATGAAAATCATCTTTCCACTTTAATTCTGAAAAAATATGTTTCACTATTAAATACGACAAGGGAAGGCTCTCAAGTGTGTTCTCGCTTTTCCTTGAAATATACATGGTTATAGGTAATTTTTTATGTTATTCATTATCTACTATTCATTTCTGCATACATACCCTTCTGGAACGGATCTTTAGAAAATTTCTCTATGAAGATCTATCTCAAAACACAAGGTAAAAAGATTTTGATCTGTCTGTCTTGTAGAGTATGGCAAGTTATCTGTATGAAAAATTTTCAGCCTAAAAGACTGACTTCAAGAAATTTTCTTTTTTATTATAGAAATGTCTATGCAGATGAATAGTAGATCATAAATGACATAAAAAATTACCTATAACTACGTATGTTTTGAGGAAAAGCGAGACATTTGTTTTTGTGTCAAGATTTGAGACTTTTTATAATAAAAATAGCTTATTGAAGCGGTAAAAAATTTTTCATGAATTTCAGAGGTCTTTTTTTCTATCGATATCTTGTAATGCTCAGGATACGGTAAAAAATCTTATTCAAGCATATATTGCTTGCCACATGTCTGATAGACAAACAGATGAATGAAATTTATAAAACATTGATAATGGTGCTGCTAGAGTATGAATAATTGCCCATGTTATTTTATCATAAAATTGTACCTGTATTTGATTTGTTTCCATTTTTTTTGATATAAATGTATCTAATAACCACAATGATATATTTAAAACAATTAATAATGCTACAAACTCTCTTCCAGGTTTTTCTCGTTTAGCTTTATGTGTATTTGCTCGACGTCTTAAACCATCTAGAATAAATAATGTTTGTAATGTACATTCAATTATTTGTAAAATGGAAACAATTAATGTTAATAATTCTAATACTTGAATATGATTTGAAAATGCTGCTGATAATAAACTAAATATAGCAAATAAATATGTTCCTAATGAACTAAATATAACTAAAACTTCATCAAATACAATTGTTGTATGCCAACGAATTTTTAATTGACGTGTATGAATATATCCTAATATAATAACACCAAACATTAAACAATTTAATACAAGTTGTGAACATTTACTCATCATAACAGATAAATAACTATCGAATATTTCTGATTGCTTATCAACATTTTTATATATAAAATATGTAATTATTGTCATTATTGTTCCAGCTAGAATAAAAAAGAAACATATTCGTATCATTTTTGAGCGAAATTCTTCTGCTGTATGACTAAAACGCATAACTGTCACCCTCAGCTTTGGTGAGTCGAGCAATATTTTTTCTCTCAAACCAGTCTTAAAAGCAAATTACCAGACGCAGTCTTTTGCGCTGATTACGAATATCAACTTTAAAACGAAGGAAATTCAACTTTTTAAGTGAATAGAGAATTAAATTCTCTATAAAATGCACTATTGACTTTATCTCATCTTGGTACGTTTAAAGTATTTCCTGGTCTGACCAATGTAATCAAAACTTAGGCGGTTTTGATCACATGAAGAAAGACGAGTCTAGAAGCAACGATTGTTACATCTCTATGTTTAATTCGATCCTGTCGACGCGTTTGATAATGTCTTAAAATCGAGAAACGCTCACGCACGTGTTTCGTTCATTTGTTCTCTCATCAAGACAAGAAAGTGCGTTTATCATTGTGACTCTAAAAATGAATTTGTAGCAGATTTTCTGCTATATTCTCGAATAAATATTGAAAACACTAACGGTCTTATAGGTTCATGGCTTTTACCTAATATGAGAAAACCAGTAAACAGTCCACGGATTGATTTTTGGCAATTAACATTAAATACATGCTCATGTTCGTCATCACCATGATGTTTATGACAATTTTTGTTAATACCATCGTCAGTGATAACAGTACTAGCATTATCATTATGATGTTCATGGTTAGTAGTTTTCGATGATAATTTTCTACCAAGATTTTGCCATATAATAAGAAATAATGTAAAACTCATTAATGTGTATTCAACAGTAAAAGGAAATAAATAGGGTGCAAGTGAATATTCAGTTTTTGTTATTAATTCAGAACCATAATTTGGATGATTACACAATATACTTGGATTTGTTATACTAAATAAAAGCATTACACTGAAAACTTGAACTACATAAAGCTGAAAACATCAAAAATAAATTATAAGACAAACGGCTTATGTGTCAATTAGTATTTAGTTCAAACTAATATGACAGTAATTTGAGTTTATAACTTACTTTGTATCTTTTGATTGAAATAATTTTGAAAATAATGTTGAATGATTTGTTTCTAATAATGTTTCTGAATCATGAGAAGTTATTTCAAGTTTAGTCTCTGTAATAATAGCATGAAACCAGCTACATATATTTGTAATTGTAACATGCATGACACCAAAATAAGCTAGAGATCGATAATTATGAATAATAATATTCGAATTTTTAAAAATGAAAAAGAATTGAATAAAATTGAAAATAACAAATAATAATTTTTCACAAATAACAAGGTGATTATTACATTTTAATGATATATCAACATGTTCAATTAATATTAATACATGATGTAAAAGACTACCAAATGAAAATATACCAATTCCAATACGCATATAAAGACCTCCTAAGAAAATATGATCCAATGACACATTACTAATGATGCCTTATTTTAAGATTGCTGCTACCTATATCGAACATTCCTGAAAGTTTTTGAAGAAGTTTTCCAAAAGCTGCTCATAAAAAACGTTTAATTCTGGGAAATCATTTATTTTCTTTCTGAAAATAAAATTTTTTTCAATAATATCAGTTTGTAAAGCAGATTTCTCTAGTTAAAATAAGATGTCGAACAAGTCTGAACAATGTTTATAGAAACTCTCAATGTCGTTAAGAAAATATGGCATCCACGTATAACAGCAGCGGATACCGTTGTACGTGGATGCCATATTTTTTTTGTACTGACCTAACCTTTTATGTTGTTTTCAAAAATATCTGAACGGACAGATTCTGCAGAGCTAGAGATAGCTCAAAAATGAAGTTAATGCATATACCTAACTAGGTATGCACCGGTATTGATAACCGACACCGAAAAACTTTCAAACATTTATATTTAAAGTTTTTAAATGATATAAAGAGTGAGCACATAACATCTATTCACTATTGTCAAAGAAACATCTGATTTCACCTATATCGATTTCGGTTGACCGACAATCAAAAAGCTAAAATCGCTAAAATCTGAAAAAAGCACACTCAAATGTACATTTTGACTTAACGAACGAATTTAATATCTGATATTTGCCCCCTAGTGAATGGAGTATGCGAGTATTTTTGAATGCGACAATGTTCGGTTTTCTCAGTGTCGGTCTACATCGAATATCGTTTTTTTCGTGTCGGTTTTTCGGTTTGAAAATCGAAACCGATGTATACCTAATTATCTAACAGAATCTGATTTTTTGGGATTTATTATGCTTCTATACATGAGTGATTTGTAATCTCTTGCATCGTGCGACAGGAAAAATATATGAGTCGTACATTCGATAGAGCTACTTGAACTGTGTATGAAGATGAATTTTTCCTGCTGAAAAATGTAGATTTTTTGTCAAATCTGTAATGCTCTATGAGATTTTTCGTCAGAACATTCATTCTTTCGATTGCCGTTCACTAATATCGGTGCCGTAAAGGGGCCCCATGATCTGATTCTTTTCTTCAGTTTGTAGAGGACACTTCGGAGTGTATGTCTCAACAAAGCTTTCGGTTCCCGGATTTGTACTTTTCCGATTAAAAAAGTGAAGTTTTTTTCGGGTTTTCTACTCTGTTTTTAAAATTTCAATAAAAACTTCAGTTTTTGATATGAAGGGTTGATTCTAGCGTAGTTCGATAGAGAAGATTAACTTGCATAAGAAGAAGAACTTTTCATTATTCTCGAATCAAGTTTGACGCAGAAATTTAACTTTCACCTTCCTTTGGACCTTTTTTGGTCTCTAAATTGAAAAATATGAAATTTTAAAATTTTAAAAACCATAAAATTTAATAAAAAAAGAATATCTTGAAAAAGGCTCTGATGAGAGACTCCGGAATTTAATTCTGAACAACTTTTGTATCCACTGTTTTATTACCGAAGTGTATGTCCTGAAGCTTTCTCAGCTTACTTACATTATTTAGGTGAGAAAAACATTAATTACTTAAAAAATGTTGAGAACCCAGACAGAATCCAGACCTATTCAGCAGCCAAATATGAATTTTAAAACTTCTAAGGCAGCCTGTCTTGTAGCGCGTGAAATTCTTTATCGGATGAGATATTGTTTGAAGTTTTTGTTTAGTCGCTATTTTACACAAGGGATCTTAATTTAGTAGAGTAACCCCCGCCCCCCTCATAATAGAAGACCACTGCCGATTATATGACTTGAAAGCCAAATAGAAGACCATGGTCTTCTATTATATCCACGAAAAAAATCGGAAAATGCACTATACCTACCTATAGGGGATTATCAAAAAAGTTTCGCCAAAACGTACTTCTAATAGGGGACGGACTTTAAGTACGTGAGTTTACCGTTGGACTACTAGCAGGTGACAAAAGGACGGGTCCGTATAAGCTAAAGAATCGGCCCACTTTTTTTTTTTGCTCAAAATGGCCCTTAGACTAGCAGAAAACCAGGAACATTCGATTTTAGGTGCTTTCGAGTGGTTAAAGCCCTTCCATCCCGATAGGATCTTCACTTGGAAGCGGCCATTATGCAGCATTATTAAAATCCTTCTCATGCGCTTTTCTCTGGCACTATAGGAACATATAAGGAAATCAACCCATAATTAGAAAGCTCTTTCAATTCTCTACAAACCGGCATATTCA